TCTAGCCAGGCTGGCGCCACCTAGTGTCTCAGCTCAATTTTATTTCTCTCCAGCGACGAGGTCAGGAATCAAAATACAACAGACAGTTTGCAAAAACCCCGGAAGTGCAAGTTCAGGCACCAGTCAATCAGCGAAGAGCCATACATTCTATGTTGACAACGATTCCCGAGATTGAGGATTTAAAGCCGGAATAAAGAGAATGTTTGATGAATCTCATCAAGGGGAAAGACGTTAATGCCCTTCTTCCTACAGGATTTGGGAAAAGCTTAATATATCAGTTAGCCTCGTTAGTGGCACATTACATACGTCACGACCAAATAGCAGTGATTGGTTAAATGAAAAAAGTACCCGCCTACCATCGAAACGAATTCTAAGGCTCACGAAATCTAAGTCAGACAGTTTGTACAAAGTGAAACGAAGTAAAACTGGCTGATGAATCAGGCTAGTCAAAATCAGACCCACGAGATCATTTCAAATATGTATTAGAGCTGGCCCGCCGGCCACATATAGGCTATAGAGATATTATTTATTTAAAATGTTGTTATTATTTTTTTTTATATTAAGCTTCTTCTGGATTCAGTGTTTCAGCAAAACTATTATTAAACATTTATTTTAATAAGAAAAGGTTTAACATTACATATCTCGAAAGAAGAGAAAACATGCAAATGTTGTTGAAATTTTTCAAGAAATATTTAGTTTGGCCCTCGACTTAGTCCCGGTTATTCATTTTGGCCCTCAATGAATTTGAGATTAATACCCTTGCCATATAGCAAGCAAGTGACCTTCAACTAAAAAAAAACAACAAAAAAACAGTCCACCTTTAAAAAGTATAAAGTGAGGTATCCAACCTTAAATAGGGAAGTAGTAGCCATAGGGGAGTAGAGATAGTAGTGTCAGTGCTTTATTTACTTTTGACAAACTAAAAAGAAAATTGCCGTGGGTGCAGTACTCTTCTCTAATTAAAATGTTCACACTTATATGCCATATGTGTCAGGACTCTCGTGTTTGATTTATAGTTAAAAGCTGTCACAACCGTCTCCTCTCCTATGGCTTTTGTTATCTTATCTCCACCTTGTGATAAGTTAAACAATGCTATCTACATAGCTCTAAGCCAGTTGTAACCATTAAGCCGAGTGAGTTTCAGTGGGGTGTGCTCCCAGTCCACAGCAGCTTGTGTGAGGTGGATTTCACTGACTCAGAGGCACAGCTGAAGCAGGGAAATCCCTCTCTTCACGGTCTACTTGGGATGACTGATGCAAATATGCTGCCTCTGCTCAGTCCAGACAGCGACACCATCAGCACACTGACCCACTTCCACAGAGACGAGGGGGGGGGGGACGTACAGACAGCCAGAGATATTAAGACTTATGGCCACACAGGATTAAATATAGGGTCAACACTAATGAAGATGCATTCTGTTGGTCTCACTTTGGGTATTCTGATTTGATTGATTTTAATATTGTTGTAGACATGGGTGTGCGTATAACTGCAGAATGGTTACCTCTTTTATATGTCCTCCACCCTCACCTCTCTGTTAGATGTGATTGAAGGGAATTAGTATGCCTTTCAGTGAATACCCATAGACTTGCATGTGTTTGTTGAATCATGAGAAAGAATGCAGTGTTTGTTTGCCCTGTTATAGGCTGTTGACTAAGGTCTATTCTCACTAAATCTTCTGGTCGGAGGCATAGGCCCAACCCCTAAAGGTTTTTTCCTTAGTGGTTAATAGTTGCAACAGTGGTATTAGCAATGAAAGATTGATCAATCTAAACATTTTTTGTTTTCGTACTCTTTGTAAGTAACTCCTTAAAGCTTACTTTGGCTTGTAGTAGCTGTTGTGTTTGGATTTATGGTAGTTCAGGTTACATTTGTACTCTTTAAACTAATACTCACTTTTAGTTGTTTAATAACCTTACATCCCACATATATGTATTAAACATGCTGTAATGAAATGCTGAATAGTGTACCTTATTAAATGTATGGATTGTATTAAGAGCTACAGTGACAGCCTGGTTCACAGCTTTTATTATCATGTCTACCTTATAGTGTCCCTATATCTCAGCCTGGAATAATTGGTTTTAAATGGTTAAGCGGTGACTAATGCTGTCTGGGCCTGCCCTTATCCCCTTCTCCGGTGACCTATTAGTGTTGCCATGCAATGTAAATGATGTCATTACATTTCAGGCATACTAAAAGTCATGTGATCTACATTTCTCCTCTATATTGCGGTGAATTTTTGTGTTCTTGTTTTTATTCCATGTGCGTAGTGTTGGCCTTCCAGCTCGTTAACCTTTCCTAATACGACCTGCATGTATTAGTAACACTCAGTGGGAAAGGTCAATCAATGTATGTATGTGTGTATGGCTGGGTGTAATTGTTTGTAAGGGGACGCTTATGCAACCTATAAAGGCCCTTGGAACTACCGCTATATGAGCTTGTCAGTGGAGTGGTGAGAGCGAATTGAATTTGCCTCTTTATAATTAAGCCAGACTGATAGTTTGATGTGGCGTAGCACTTGGCTGTAGGGCGAACTCCTGCTAATGATGATGTGTAATCAAGTGATTACATGCCATGATGTGTGTCCCTGCTCTTTGTAGTACAGTCACTTTGAAAATTAAAATACCCCCACCGGAGGAATTCTCCCTAGCATGTTAAGTTCAGACTGTCAATGACCGATTAATTAGTCATCATGAAAAATACCAGGAAAAAGGCAAATGTGTGAAGCTTGGTTTTCGGATCGTTCTGGATTATGCTGAGTGGACTGTAAGGCACTAATGAATGTAAATGTACAGACATGACCCAAGTGACCAGGCTAAGGGCTGTGAATCGATAGGCTCATTGAGATGTTGCATGCTGAGTCTAGGGATGACCTTTTTAGTGTGCCACTGCTCGCAAATGTAATATCATAAAAACACAGCAAAGACAAACTAATAACCTTTTTAAGATGGACCTGGCTAATTATGAGGAAAGCCACAGACAGGAATGGGTTGTTCATCTTCACCATTAAAATTGGACTAGACTTATTTGTCCAAAATGGGAAAAGTCTAGAGCCTAAGAATTCACTACTTGTACTTTATATTGTGAGTTTAACTAGTGTGTTTTTCATGTACAGAAATTACTTTTGTTACTTAATTGCTAAGACAAAGCAAGGCAGGTTTATGGAGTGTAATCCGTAAAAAGTAATTCAAAGTGCTTTATAGAACAAGGTAATTACGTTTTTCTTGTAGCCCATTTCCTGAAACATACTCTAGTGGGAGAACACAATGTCTATTTTTACACCATACCTTTCACTGTCCTTCTTTTTTTTTTTTTTACCTTAATTGTAAAAGTAAGTTTAGAAGTTTAGAATGTTAATAATAGCAATACATAAGAGTCAGTTGTACTAATAGTGGAAATTTAATAGTTGACGTGACCATTGAAACCAGTGAACAACAGAGGCTGAAAGTATCATTCGTCTTTGCGTTTCACTACGTTTGAATGTCATGTGAGTTTGACTAATCCAGCGGAGCACAGCCTGAGCCTGGAGGCAACAGAACCGCCCAAAAACACATAAAAAACTCCTTCTTTCACCGAGGTCAGAGTACACCACCACCACCATCCGGCCCGGGCTCAGATCACTTACTCTGTCACAGCCGAGCGACAGGCACACACAGTTCAGCTTTCATTTTAATTGTCGCCTCCAAAGACAAACTCAGCCCCATTTTTGGCTTTCAACCCGGGCATTAGGCAAACAGCCGACACAAGCCACTGCAGATGAACATTTTATATTTTCTTGCTGTGCGATTTCCAATCTGACTGCTGCCTGATAAGGGCCACATTGCTGCTCCTCATTCCCTCAGATCCGCGGCCTCCATCTTTCCTAATCAGATTTCCCTGCTTGGGTTATTTATCATGGCCAGCTTTGACTGTGAGTGATGCTTGGCTAATGGGTTTAGCATTCAAATCTGCTGGCTTGATGTGACACAATCCCAACAAGGCTTGTCATTCCCGCGGCGGTGGCGTCTCCAGCGCGCCGTAAATAAGAGGGAAATGACATTGTTGAAATATGTATTCATGACCAGGGCTGTTTTTACATTTTGTTAGATTTGTATTGATTTTAAAGGTGTTAAAATGACTCGCGGAAAGAGGAGAGCGAGATTAATGTTATGGCTTTAAATCAGAAGATGGGAAAATCTATCCGTCTATACATTCTTCCTCCCCATGTGCATGTTTCATATGAAGACATAAAGTCACGGGGTATAAGTTCTAGGTATCTTATTGAAAATGTTGATGAAGAGAAAAAAAAAGTAGAATCATCTACAAAAAATGTAGACATCATAAAAGCATTCAATATAAATTACCAGTCAGATAGTACAAGACTTCCAAGGTTCTGGTTCTACCTTTCACTGGTGAAAGTGAAGTGTCTTGTCTAATTGTCCAAATGTCAAGTCACAATGGTAAAAAAAACCAAAAAAAAAAAACCCCAAACATTAAATTAAATGACCCAAGAACATATAGATTCACAATGAGGGTATTACATGGTATTTGGAAGTAGTATCAGTTAGGGATGCATTGATTAAGTACTGGTATCGGATATTGGCAGAAATATTGAAAATTTTGATAGATCAGATATCAGGTCCAAGATATTGTTACAACTGATCTCATTCTGGTCTGTAAATTGGTGTAATAAGATAATTTACTGGCCAGAAATATCTCATAATATTGAATTTGTATGTTTTCAAAGCTATTCTGTAGTTACTCCAAATGATACATACCATTTAGAAAACACACATAGGTAATATTTAATATATTTAATTAATGTAATTGTGTCCAGATATTTTCTGTCTCTGCCTTAGTATCAGCTGATACCAGGTCTTGTCAGATACTTAAAGACATAGTACTGGCATGAGTATTTGAGAGAAAAAGCTGCATTGGAGCATCCAGATTGGCAGCAGTAGCAGTTGTTTCCAGATTGTTACCTAATAGTCATGTTTAATTCGTTTCATTTTCTTCTCTTTCAGAAATACAAGCCAAAATAGTGTGACTGTACAAATGGGAAGACACACATGAACAGATCTTGTGAACAAACGTCTGTGTGAAACAGGAGGAGTCTGAGACAGTGTGGTGAGTAGCTACACTATGTTGAGACTGCAGCCCTGAGACAGTTATGGTTATGACCATAATTACCAGTCATAAACCCACAGCTGTGAACTGCTCCACCTTCTTCTCCTCTTCCTGCAGCACCTGCACTCTGCCAGGTCACAACACACAACCCTGCTGTATCTCTATGATCTTCCACACTGACACAAGTGTAAACAAGCCAACGGATGACACTTCTTATCTATTTATATTTTGTTTGTTCTATCAAATGTGGAATTCAACAGATGTGGTAACCTTATCAGACCTAGCTTTAAGATCTTCCTGTTATTGTTAAACGTTAGCCTATGTGCAAACATACAAAACAGGTGCAGAAACTTTCGGAAACTTAACTTAGTTTTACTTTGCTCCTCACTTGGGACTCAGGTTCACAAAGTTACTTTAGTCTTTGGAGTACTTCTGATGACCACTACAGACTGGGAACACACTACAGGAGCTGCAATTTCAGGGATACTCTGACCCAGTAGTCATCACAGTTTGGGCTTGACAATTGGAAATCCTAGTCTGTTTTTTTTTCATTTTTTTTCACTGGCTGATAGCAAATCAAAAAGTTTTGTTGTTTATCTTAAAAATAATCTCTCAAGTAGATGTAAAAAGTAGTCATCCAAATAATTTCTCAGTTAGGAGTCATTCTTTTTTTTTCTCTCTCTCTCTTAAAATACCTTGAAAAACAAATACTTGTTTGTTTCAATGGAGACAGATAAGTTTAAAGTCATACTGTGTAACAAAATAATCAGCCTTGTTGTCCACTTGCACACTTGCTCAAAGTAATCATAAGAGAAGCTAAATATTTCACTCCAACTTTAGCTTTCAGCTCTATCAAAACACCAAGTTGCGCCCTAATATATTACTCTCACAAAGAGGTGTCATGATGAATAGATGATTCACCTCTCATGTCAGTGGTCATAATGTTATGGCTGATTGGTGATAAAACACGACACTCTTGTTTTGATCATGGACACAAAATGTAAATTAGCCGACAGCTGCTGGTCTTCATCTCTTCATTTTATCTTTGTTCAGTGAGAAGCAGATGCATTATTTTCTAATGTTTGATCTTAAACCGTAAATTAAGTTGCGAGCCAAGATAATGCTGCGACGTGCATGCCATGTCCTCAGTCTTCTCTCCTCACCACCTGCTCCATGTAAATAGACCCATATGCCCAAGCAGCACAAAGCTTTATGGTGCTCATGGGGAACATTTTGCACTGGCCCCTAGCACCTCACTGGTCATTAGTAGCCTGCTTACAAATGCTGACATCACTGCCACAGACGGAGAGACAGGTTGGACAAGGAAAACACATTTTGACATAGAAAATAGATCTGTCAGTTAATAGTTCTTCCAAAGCAGAACACTGGGCAAGTCTGGCTCTGTCGAGATATGAAGACATTATGCAGTTTTTCTTGTTGGGGATGACATGTGTACTGCGTGACCTCATTCAGTTGCAAAGTGGAACAACTGACAAGGCAGGTTTAAATATAGAAGTGATCAGAGCTAATGTGTTAATGCGTGGCTATTTTTTGAAATTACACAAAATTGGGTCTAAAAAGTACGTTGCATAAGGATGAAAGTGTTTTGTTTTTTTTTTAGTCAACCGGAAATATTCATTGTTTTGTTCACTTTGCTACTTTCTTTTCTATTTTGGAAAGTGGCATAACCAGAAGTACTAACCAGATTTTCTTGTTTTTCTTATAACTGAAGTCTCTGGGGCTTCTCTGGAACAAAACGTGACTTCACCATGAAGTTCACAGCCGGTCATCTTGCATAATCTCTTGGCTCCAAATGAGTGTAGACATGTTAATTAGGTATATGCCCTACAAATATGTCATATTCTCTCCAAGGCAAACAGTGGCATAGAGGTGTGGTTAAACTTGCTCTATGTGTTTTTTTTGTTTTTTTTTCCTGGTGTAGTTCTGCTTGTCTCCATGGTGAGGATCTTGCTTTTTATGTTCCACATTATGGCATTTTAGTATCTCAATTGGGTCAAGCAGCTCATTTTAACAGTGTATGTTTTCTGTGGGACATTTCGGGCAACCTCCACCAGAAAAGTTCATAGTGCATCTTTAATATATTTCAATGTAAATTAACCCAAAAATTATGTGAGTGTTAAAAGTAAATAGGTATTTTTAGATGATCTTACAGTTATGATTAGTCATACAAATATGTAGTTCACTGGTCATAAGAGTTATTTTCTGTTCCTGTAGTTATGTTTCCGCAACAGTACCTTCACTTAAAGGTTAAAGTTAAGTTGGATCATTTAAAACAAAACCTTGGGGATGCAAATCCAAACAGACATTTATAGATCTGTCATAAATCATAACTTGAGCTTTGTTGGGCCAGTGGTTTCCATTGAGGCCCATATTTTTTAATTGGATTTGCTGGTCCCTTGCCGTCTCTTGGTAGAATGATGTGTGTGAGAAAAGAAGTTAGACATGTCAACAAAAGTGTGTGTTTGTTTGGTGGGCATCCGTTCGTGTGTGTGTGTGTTTGAAACGTGTGTAATTTTGTGACAGAAAGCCACAGATTATTGCACATGAAATGTTATTCATACAAGCAGCTCTAGCGTGACTATCCCCCTGCCACAGCACTCAACAGCCTGCTGGAGAAACACAACAGAACAAATCTCAGTGAAAAAAAAGCTTGGTAAATCTCACAAGGGAGATTCTGCGACTTTTTCTCTTCAATTTTGAATCAACTGCACCTCACAGGGAGATGCAAGTTGGAGTGACCACTGGACGTGTGTGTGTGTGTCTCTCTCTCTCTGTGTTTGTGTGTGTGTATATGTATGTGTGTGTGTGTATGTATGTGTGTGGGTGTGTGTAAGGAGTTTTAATCCCATGCAGCTTTTTTTTTTTTTTTTTTTACAATTCAGCAAATAAATTGACACAGTGTACCAGCTGGCGTTATCTGGTGTTACACAGTCTAGTCAGTGCAAATGCAAGTGCAACATACCAATCAGCCATATTATTAGAAATCTTAAATAATAACAGAATATGAATAATTTATTGTAAATAAAAACCTGCAGTCTGAAGCAGAAATTGAACTACAAAAGCTAATAAACTGAAATTGTTACAGAGAAATAGTCATTATTAAAAGTTACTGAATTAATTTAGACAAACACATAAACTTTAACAGATCTGTGGAGAAGTGACCCCACCTACAGTAAGAATGCCTGTTTTTCAGTGCATTTTTTAGTCATAAAAAACACTGATTACATACTGTGACACATTCCAGGCAAAGAAATAACGTTTCCATGGAGACAATTTGTTGGTGTGTAGCCAGGCTGGTGCCACATAGTGCCTCCGCTCAATTTCATTTCTCTCCAGCAAATAGGTCAGGAATCGGAATACAGTAGATGGTTTGCAAGAACCCTTGAAGTTGTAGACCACATACCGGCCAATCAGTGAAGAGCTGTGAAGCCATGACTTCAAACTCAAGCGCCTGTCTGGGTCCCTTTTGTGGTACAGCTCAACAGTAAACAAAGCGGTCGAGATGGATGTAGATGAAGACATACATTCTGTGTTGGCAACGATTCTTGAGATCGAGGATTTAAAGCCAGAACAAAGAGAATGTTTGGTGAATTTTACCAAGGGGAAAGATGTTATTGCCCTTCTTCCTATGGGATTTGGGGAAAGCTTAATATACCAGTTAGCTCTGTTAGCAGCGCATTATATACGTCACTATCAAATAGCAGCGATTGGTTAAATAAAAAAGAACCTGCCTACTGTCGAGCGAACGAATCCTAATGCTGCGAGGTCAGATGGTTTCCACGAAGTGAAACCAGCTGATGAATCAGGCTAGTTGGTGAGCCCCCACCAGAAAAGTGACACAGTGAACCTTTAATATCATGACCGAAAAGATAAGTTAGCACGTGTCCCCTTTAAGCCTCCTTTAAAGGGGCATTGCTCCACTTTTTTGGTGGAAGGTCCTTTACCTGCTTGTCGTCATGGAGATGTTATTGCTTTGTCTAGAATGTTCCACAGTAGAGATTAAACCTGTCTATCTCAAGGGAGACAACTATAGATTACATTTCATTTCAGATCTGTGGAGTGGCAACCCTATTCACAGAGAGAATTATTGTATTTTTGAACAATAGAAACCATAATCCATAATGAACAAATGCGAGATAGATGTGTTTAACCTCATACCATGGAACATTCCAGGAAAAGCAATAACATAACATAATAACAAGACAAGCAGGTGACGGATCCTCCACAAGAAAAGTTGTGCAGTGCATCGTAAAGAGAGGATCAGAGTTGTGTTTCTGAATCATTAATAAGATCCAACTTTTCTTATTGCATATCCAAATAAGGGCTGTGTTGTCCAGGATGTTTGAGATTTTTCCACAAATATATTGCTGCACTTGTTATTGAAAACGCCCTGACTTTAACAGTGTAGTCAGGTTAATGGACTGCAAATCTGATGAACATGTAGAGGAAGTCTCCCCTTTGAAAATCCTTTGATCATCGCTGCAGAGATCAAAAGCAAATGCAGGTTATTCTATGTGCAGAGCCTTAACCTTAAAAGCCACGGTTTTGTTATTTAGCATAGTCCCTCCTGTGCAGCTGAGGCAGTCTTCCCTTGTGCTAACACCAAGGTCATTCCCTAAAGACTCCCCTGCAGCACTTATCTCTCCACTTAATGACATAACCTCTGGGCTGATCCCTGGCCTGCCCACACAACAGACCTGCCACACCACTGAGATAGCTGCAATGAAGATTATATCAAGTCAACCGTGAAAGAAAACAAGTTTACCATTAGAAAGGAGAGGACATTTAGACCAGTAATGTGTCATTTAGAACTGTAACCCCTAAAAATGTCAACAAATGCTAAAAAGCACAACAAAACATCTTCTGAGTAGGTTTGGATCCAGAGCCAGAATCCACAGGACTCTTTGTGATTTCAAAACCTGGATAAATATAGAGGCTTGCATCAGGATGGGCATCTGGCTTAGAAACCGTATAAAAAC